TGTGTTTATGATGAAGTTGTATGACAATTGTAATTTATCTTGAATAGTCCTAAATAAGTGTATTAGATTATTATCTAGTAGAGTTCAATTCGTATTACACTATGTTGCTTCAATCCTAAATAATGTTAGATTATCATCTTGTGCAGTTCCATTTGTATTAGACTAAGTTACTAATTTCCTAAATCAACTTAAAATCTTACATCTATATACTTAATGCCTCTCTCCCTCTCCACTTGCCAACTACCGCATCTTCTCCTACTCTGCAATCTTGAAACTAATTGAACCTTTAAAATCAGCAAATTGATATGGCTTCATTTCAAGAATCCAATCTCAGAAAGGTACTTCTTTTTCATTTATTCTTGATTTTCTTGCCTTCACTCTTCATATCTGCATACGCTGAAAACCGACCACACAGTTATGAGCTTTTTGGTAGAAGAAAAATTCCGTCAATCGTCAAGAAGAAAATTACTTCGACTAAACTTCCCTCATATTCATCAACCAAGAACGAACTCCATTTTGAAAAGAAGCTGAGTGAGTCTAAAATTAAATCCAAGAACACAGATAAAAACCAGCCCAGTTGGATTAATCAAGATGATGATTTGGTTGATGGGATCAAAGCCATGTCGACTGAGTTTCAAGAAACCCTTGTGCCGGATTTTCAGAAAATTTCCAGAACTTCAAAAGTTTATCTCAACAAGTACAATAAAGCATTCACCAAAGGATTCAAGCCTTATGTAGGCAACAAATATGCACCCACAGTTGCCTCTACAGTCTCTTTTGGCTTTATTTTCATTCTACTTATTTTTCTCTCACTTATTTTCAAGCATATTAAACCCTACTTTTCACTCCAAAAGCTCTTAAGTTTTATTCAGATTTATCTTTCTATATATTTCTCTATATTATGTTTATCATCATTAGTTACCGGGCTCGAGCCACTGAGGGTTTCCTATGCTACTTCACAGTCCACCTTTTTGTGTGTACAAGTTCTACAAACACTCGCTTATTTGTTGTATCTCTTGCTACTGTTGATGTATTTGATTCTGGTATTCTCCACTGTAACTGGGCTGTCCACCAAGTTAGTGGGCCTGGCACAGACCTTTTTGAGCTTTGGTATTGGGCTGCATTACTACATGACAGTGTTCCATAGAGTTGTGTTGCACCAACCGCCCAAGACCAGTTGGAGGGCCCATGCCCTTTATGCCACGTGTTTCCTTGTGATTTGTCTGTTTGGTAGAGCTGATGGAAGGAAGAGGCTTTACATTGAAGAGGGTGGTGAGGAAGGTAAACTGAGTTAGACAATATTTTTGAATGAACACTATTAGATCAAAGGTTGGAAAGAATCGTGCAATTTTTAATTTACTTTGTAATTTATTTGAAAAGATATTTAGGCCCCGTCTGGTAAAGCTTTTCCTTCCAATTGTAATTGGTTTTGTGACTGTTGCAGCCTACTTTGTTGACAAATTATCTCACATACAAGGGCCCACATTCCTTGTGTAACGGATATTTTTTCACTTTTAATTAGCTCCAGACAGGCTCTTAGACGTCATATATAAATGGTCGAATTTACTTATATTTGTTGTATATTGTTCCTTTATTTATAGTTAAAGGTATATGTTCAATTTGCCATGGTCCAAGAGCCTTCTTGCAACACAAGTTCATAAATAACATGACTACGTTTCAAAGTTTAGAATCTGCTCACTAAATTTCGCGTAAATTGAATGTTTCAACGGTAAATTCTCTTAATATTGTGTGCAAAACATTCAAGTCAATAATTTAATATTACCTTCAAATGTTTTTAAATAAATTTTTTTATTTATAAAAAATACAAAATTATTAATTTTATAGAAATGTGAGATGTAATCAAGACTTTCACATTCTAAATCAGATACAAAAAAATGATAAAGGTTTGTATTTGAGTCATCCCATAGAATTTAATGTCAATTAGTCGAAGATGGTTGATTTTTTTTAGAGGCGTGGTTCATTTCGATTTGATTTCGAAGAAAAATGAACCAAATCGAGAATAATATTGGTTATTTTATAATAAAAATGTTGGTTCCATATATCATTGGGGAACCAAACCAAATAATTTAGGTTTAATTTCATTTGATTTGATTTTATTTTATAACCAAAAAATTCAAATTATAAATACAAAATACATAACAAAGTTCTATAATAAAAATTAAATACTAAAAATATAAAGACTCATGGGTTATAAAAGTACTAAGAATTTGGATTCATAGGCATTTTTCTAAAATGATCTTCTAATGGTCAAATATAAAGTTCAAAAAGACCAAACGTCAATCTCAGTTTGGAAATAATTTATAAAATAAGTAATGGATAGGTAAATAGTACGGTCCAATTTACTTTCTAAAGATAATTCACGCTGTGATGCATTTTTCTTTAACACGCGTGGACCATCTTTACTATTAGAAATAATACTGTTTAGTCCCAATGCGATTATAATTAACCCTAATCTATATTGTGTTAGGTGATAGACTAAATAAAATGTGGAATCAAATGACTCATTTAATTGTACTTATAATTTAATAGCACATTGACGCCATATAGATTGAAGTTATAATCTCGATTAAGTTAAATAACATTACTCTTACTGTTGGTGAAAGTCGGAATGATGGCGGAAATTGGTAAATGTGGGTGGTAGTTGGGGGATTTAGCTCGGTTGCAATTGTCATGTGAAGGAGAATGATTGTGTCTCTATGGCTCAATATTTAGCTCAAACCCAAAAAATAAGGATTATTCTTCCCATGTTCAATTTTTTTCAGTTAAATTCTCGAAACAAAACATTTAATTCGCAGGACAGAACCTGTAGGTGAAGCCAAGCTCGGCTTCCTAATGAGCAAAATCGAGTATTGAGGCAAGTTCATGGACTGACTCGACTCGACTCGACTCATTGTCTCACCATTCATAAACAACTATGAGGGTCTCCATAATTGACTATTGAATTTTTTTTTGGTTATAGTTTAGAATTAATTTTGCAGTTCAAGTTTCATCAATGTAGATAGAATTAACTTATATGTACAGTATTGTTTACATTGTTGTTGACTTTCATCAATGTAGATAGAATTAACTTATATGTATGTTATTGTTTACATTGTTGTTGACACTCCGCTTATATGTCAAAATCTAGCCTATGATGTGAAAGGGTATTGTAAAAATATATGGCTATGGAGGATGACATGTATTAGGATGTCAAAATACTTAATGTTTACAAGAATATCCATGTAACATGGTTGATGTAGATAACTATACAATAACTTCTTTCTTTGCATGCACGGTAACTGAATAGAGAAAGGTGCCACAACTTGGCATTAAGTAATTGCTTTGAGGATCGAACAGCTTGGTTCCACAAAATTGCGTGACTGCGTCTAACTAAGCGTGTCCTTTCATTTACCTTCCACACCGCCTCTGGCCCTTTGCGTCTCCTCTAGGCTCCAGGCTTCAGCCTCCATTTCAATTCAAAACACTAGGGTCGCAGGCTCGCAGCTCGGCATTTGGCACCGCAGCAGTAACCTTCTGCCCCTGATTGTAAGTCTGTAGCTTTTTTCTCTCTCTTTGATGTATATTTTGCGTATGAAGAAACCGATTGTTGATAAATAAGGTAATGGTCTTGAATTGAATCTGTTCGTAATTAATTTCAAGTTGTGTTGTGTCTTAGGCTCAAAGATTATTAACCTTGTTACTTGGAGTTTAATGCCTCAATCAAGGAGGTATTTTGTTTCCTCCTAGAGTTTAGTCATTATATAAGCTGAATATCCGATAACCCACCTAAGAATCCGATACACAGAGATTCTTACCCTTCTTGAAGATATTAGCTTTGTGATCGATCTTGGCGTTGGAGACTTCGATTGACCATCATGGTCCTATGATACCCCAGAAGACTTGTAAATTTGTTGGTCCCTTTTTACTACAAAGACGAGCACATTTAGAAACTATAACATTTAGAATCGAATGGTGGAGCATTTGATAGGGAGGGAGAGAGGGAGGGAGAGAAAAGAGGGGGTTTTTGTTAGTTTTATCATCAATTTCTGCTTATTAATAATATCTCGTGTAAGACTTTGTTGCAATTTGTGGATTTTAATATTATAAAATATGTCATTTCTAATATTGTCGTAATATTATTTTATATTTTTGTCATCATTAAATCTATAACCAAAAATTCGGCGTTCAACATCGATAAATTGTGCCCACACTGAGTTACTTTCTTGACTCCGCTCCTGATTGTATACAAATTATTTGACATTGACAAAAAGAAGAAAGAATGCAACAAAGTTATGTTGAAAAAGATTGAGCTTGAGTAGTAAAATAAGATTGAAATGGTGAAGAAAAAAGAACATGATCTTAGTTTTTAAACTATATTTGAAAAATGAGTTTCGAATAATATGTTAGAGCAATACACGTATAAAATTGAAGTTTAAAATTGTATATTCTATATTATGTGAAAAACTTTGATAATTGTTGGGTTTAAACAATGTTGAATTTGTGCACAGAATATTTCTAAGAAAAATTTAAGGGATGACAATGATTGAAACAAACATTTTCGTTTCTCATCTCGTCGAGGATTTTCGAGTTGTGGGATAGAGAAGGATCGAGTTCAATGTAAGGATTAAAGTATTCTTGTTTAAATTTTGTGTCTGAACAAAGTGCATGTTTGAAATAAATTATAAGGAGATTAGTTGAGTATGACTTTAAGAGTTTTCGACGCGTAATTAAAATTAATATTTTAGTTTTGATAAAAGACTAAAATTTGAGCCAAAAATGCACAAAGAAAGGCCCCGATGCAAAAACACGTTTTATGCACCAGCCAAATAAACGCCACTAAAGAATTTCAATCGCGACAGACACGTGGATGCGGCGACTCTTTGCCAGTTTTACGTCCCCATCCCACTGTCTTCACTCATAACCCCCGCAATCCTACAAACATAAATACACGCACTCAGAAGCGTCAAGACACACATTCACAAAGAGATACAGAGTGAATAATGGCAACTCTTAAAGTCCCTTCAAGCTTTCCTCCTGCAGAAGAGGATTCTGAGCAACTCAGAAAAGCTTTTGCAGGTAAAAAATTTTACAGCTTGAATTTTCTGTGAATCGTCTTTATTTTTTGCTCTTCTTCAATCAGATCTGTGTAATGGGTTTATATCTGTTTGAATGCACGTTAACAGATTGGAAATGATTCTCTATTGGAAATGTATGCATAATTGGGTTTAATCGGGTATTAGGATCTTTAGATGGTGGAGAGTTTTTTAACCGTTTGATCTTGGAGATTGATCTAAATTGAATGAGTATCTTTAGTTCCTCTTTTATTTAGTTATCTTTTTCTGAACCAGCGTTGTGATTGTAATGTAAAAAATTTGACCAAATAGTGATGCTTGGGTGCTGGTTGGAATGGGGATAGGAGTAGGAGGGAGAAGATGTACAGGTAGAGTTTTTATTTTGAGTATATAGGTACTCGGTGTGTATATGTTTTTTTTTTTTTTTCAGAATGAAATTCTCTAGGTGTGTATATGTTGAATTGCATTATAATGACGAGAAAATACGTGGAAATTTGGATCGGTTACATTACATTAATTCTTTCTCACCACTTTATTTGGTTCATTGCAAGATCAACTCAAGTATCCAAAGCGAATATGATGATCTGTGCCTAACATAAATTTGCAGGATGGGGAACAAATGAGGCACTGATTATCCAGATCCTGGCTCACAGGAATGCAGCACAACGCAAGTTGATTCGGGAAACATATGCTGCAACTTATGGAGAAGATCTTCTAAAAGACTTGGACAGTGAACTTTCGAGTGACTTTCAGGTCAGTTAAGATGGTTCTTATTCTTTTTAGTTGGATGACAAAGTGAATCATTGCGATATTTTTAGAAAGATAATTATTCTGCTGAAAGTTCAAGGAGTCGTTTATGTACACTTCGTCTGAGAAAACTTACCTACACATCTGCCTATTCACTTAATGTAACAGCATGCAGTACTGCTGTGGGCGTTGGATCCAACCGAGAGAGATGCATACTTGGCTAATGAGGCTACAAAACGATTGACTTATAGCAATTGGGTCATCATGGAAATTGCGTGCACCAGGTCCTCCAATGATCTCTTTTTGGTGAGGAAGGAATATCATGCTCGTTATAAAAGATCTCTTGAAGAAGATGTCGCATATCACACAACTGGTGATTTCCGTAAGGTAAATCACAAGTTCTCGTTTGTTATTTATTAAATCTTAACGTCCGTGTACCACACAATCTTAACTCTCTGTTCTTTGGGAATCACATAAATCTTGTTAATGAGAGCCTTTTTTAGGTGTGCACAAGACATGCCAACAACCAGTTTCCTTAGTTATTCCGTGAATTTATTCTCCATTGCTGCCACGCCTAATCTTAATTTTTTTAATTCTAGTATAGTCACAAATCCATCCTAGAATGTGCATTTATGCTAATTTGTCTTGGGAATGTATATCATCTGATGGCCTTGCACTCAAATCATTTGGTATAGGTGGTCTAATAATTATCCCATAGAATTTTCATTTTAACTTGGTAGATACTTCCAGTTAAATGGAATCACGGTAACACTTCTCCTTGTTTTCCAATCCTCTCTAGACTCTAATCTTATGCATAACATCCTCTTCAAGTCACCTGTCAAATCTAAATACCAAAATAGTTACTCTTGGGGACAATATGATCCTATGTTTTATTCTACTGTTATACTCGGGCTGATTTACATGGTAGCATGCAGGGTCAGTTGACCCTGCAAAAAATTCTAAATTCCATTTTTTTCCCTTTTCCCTATTTTCACATGTTTTTGCCATTAACATGTCTCCTATTCACTAATCTTTTTCACAAGTTTTTGCCATTAACATGTCTTCTATTCATTAATCTCATTCTTCCCTCAAAATCTAGATTTGCAATTTTTATCAAATAATTCTCTTTTTCTACGTAACTTCGCTCCATCAACACCAACGATTTTTATACTTTAAACGAAAATCTCAATTTTTGAGTGAAGAGCAAAATATTGTTGAAACTAGTGTTCAAGAGAGAAAGACGTTAAAATGTTCTTTCTTGCAACTTAATTTTTGACCCCACGGTGAAGAATATCTAGCTTCGCCACTGTTTATACTTATAGTCATAATGACTAAACTGATGTTCTTTGTATTGTCTTATTTCTATTTAAGTAGAACTTTTATTATCCGAAGTTATATAATAATTTGCATTACAATTTGTCTCACTTTATCATCTAATTGGGTCATGAACGATAACAACCCAATGAATGACACAAGGGAAGGGATCTCATTTGAATGTCTCGTGAGTTTTTCCATGACTGAAACAAAATGATTAGAATTCAGTGCATGATATCTTCAATAATAACGATATAAATAATAAAAGTAAATGTTTTTTTTCCCTCTTGCACCTTCCATATCACGCGATTGGCACCCTATGATTTGCTTTTCCTAAACCATATGCAAATCTCACTTCCTTCTCATAACATTTCAATCAAACTATTGATGTGACAAAGTTTTATATGGTATGTCGACCTACTACAACATTTTCTTATCGAAGTTTGGGACAAGATATCAGAGAACATAGGTAGAGTAATTGTTGCAAACAAATAACGACCCTGCTTTTTTACAATCTGCTAATTCCCCAGCAGCTTTTGGTTCCTCTTGTAAGTGCATTCAGGTATGAAGGAGATGAGGTGAACATGATGTTGGCAAAATCAGAGGCTAAGATACTACATGAGAAGATCTGTGACGAGGCCTACAATCATGAGGAAGTTATTAGAATTCTCGCAACAAGGAGCAAAGCACAGATCAATGCGACGCTTAACCAATACAACAATCAATTTGGAAATGCTATCAATAAGGTACATCTCATGCCGTACTAGGATAATTCTACTTTGAAATTTATTGTTTAAGAATTAGGAGTATGTATAGCTAAGCGTAAAAAGTTAGGCAAAGTTATTTTTGAGGAAATTTTGGCTTCGAAGTTACCTTTTTCGACTTTCGTACTTATACAAGTAAAAAGGTTGCTTATTTTGATAGTGACTCTTACCATATTGTCAATACGGCACCGTTCCTCCTACTCATTAATTTGACACACTTATTTGACAAATAATCGTGACATTTAATTTAAATCAATCCAACGCTCAATATGTATTTCACTAAAATCATGTGAGAGTTTGTTATAACCACTTGATATCCATAAAATATTGAGCGTTGAATTGACTTAAATTAAAGGTCACGATTATTTGTCAAATAAATGTGTCAAATTAATGAGAGGATGAACGGTTCCGTTGTCACTATAAGTAACGTTCTTTATTTCTTTGACAAATACAAAACAATATTATTTTCAAATGTACTGATTTACTTGTAAGTAAAATTCCAAGGTTAGAAAGACACTCTTGGTCGCGAAAGTCATGGTTAACCATGCATTACTTGAGAAGTTTAATTTCACTGCCTCCAAATTTCTCAGCACTCTAAATACATCGAAATGTTTACAGGATCTGAAATCTGATCCCAAGGATGACTACCTCAGCTTACTAAGGGCAACAATAAAGTGCCTGACCTGTCCCGAGAAATATTTTGAGAAAACTCTTCGTTTAGCTATCAACAAGCTGGGCACAGATGAACTGGCTCTTACTCGTGTTGTTGTTACACAAGCTGAGGTCAATATGCATTGTATCAAAGAAGAATATCATAAAAGGAACAGCATCCCTCTGGAGCGTGCAATTGCTAGAGATACTTCTGGAGACTACGAGAAAATGCTTCTTGCCTTGATAGGTTATGAGGATGCTTGAGTGACTGTGCTCAGCTTTCCTATATATATTAAACACATATCTTGAATTTGCAGTTTATTTTCTTGATTGTTGTGTGATTGTAGACTATCGATGTTCCAGTTGGAAATCATGGCCCAAGTTACTTGTCATTTTACTTTATATGGATTAATGCTGGTGAATCGAGCTTTGTTTGTGATGAGCAATATATGCTTACTTTTTCAGAAGATTAGGCCTGTTAGCTTCTGGGACTTGGATTTTCTTTCCTGTTTCGACCAGAGGTTTCTCACAGGGTAAGATATTACTTTGAATTCTTGCAGTAAGCAATCTGCAATCAAATCTATACCAGATGTAAAGCTATGTGATGAAGAACACGGGATTGGAGGAAAAAAATATCTTCTATTTTTGCTTGTTGCATCTTGCGGAGGCTGCACTAGATCAAATTTCTTTAAATGCTCTTCTAACCATACAAAGCATTTTCAAAAATTATTCAAATAGGCATCAAAGCAACTTTTTGGTTTCGGGAGTAATTTTTGACTTTTCAAAAGCTCCACCATACGGGCCTTTAGTAGGGTTTGTGAATTAAAGATCTCAACGGCCTGAATTTCAAACTCATCTATAGATGAAATGGAGTTTCAATAAGATTAAATACATTTGGACTTCGTTGATTGACATTCACATTATTAGTTGCTAGTCTTTAACCGGTTTGTCACTTGTAAATTTTCAACAATTAATTCTTACTAATTACTCATCTATAGATCAAATCGATGCACATTTTGATGCTTCTACTATTCTATTGAGATGATTAGTTGCAAAGGGTTTCTATTGGACACTAGAACCTTTAAATTCAACGTTAAAATATGCACCAACCTTAGATCATTGTTGAGGAACATGATGGAGCCAGCTATCCTTCTCCACTGCATGAGATGAACTTATCAAATTCATCAAATGCCATAGTAGAAAGATTAATCAACGATATAGCTAAAATGTAGGGGATTGAATTACCATCGAGTCCTCTTTCTGACAGCATATACAAAAGAGTAATACTTGGCATATGAAGCTTCAAACATGTGGATTCACATTTAAAAAATCCATTAGAAGTCATCCCACATGTTTGAAGCTTATAAGTCATCCCACACATGCTCATAATCTCTCCGCCTGACTTCAGGCAAGTCGAAAATCCATTAAAATCTTTCCTTGGATATGTGATCCAAAGGTTTTAAGTTAGCATATCGTTCACTCAATAAACCATGTTTAGTACCAACATTATGATTCAAAGTTAAAAGAGTCTCGGAAAAGAGGTTATAAAGCTTAATTTATATTAGCCATCACAAAAAGTAGTGGAACCGATAGGATGATTTTGTTTAAACAAACTCGAACATCCATTTTCACCATTAAAGAAATATTCAGAAGAATCAAGTTTTGATAAAAAAAATTAAACTGCAAGAAATAGAAACTACATAAAGAGTTTGAAATAAATCAAAGTGATGTCCTGCATCTAAAATCAAACAGTAAGTTCCAATGGCTTCAACATGAGTTTTGACTCGATTGCTCATGAAAACAAACTTTTCATTTGAATTTATGGTTTGGACTGAAAGGAATCTCTGCATCGTATTGGTAACATGAGTGGTACATCCGAAATCAATCCACCAAGTATTATAAGAAAATTCTATCAAATTAGATTCGAAACATACATAAGAAATAATTTTATATTTACTTTCGAATCATGCCTTAAATTTCAGGCAGTTCTTTTTATGGTGCTCATGTATCTTTCTTGTGTTTCTTATTGTGGATTTGGGCAGAAGACTCATTTATCTTTAGCAGTCCTTGCTTAATGCTTTTTCCAGACATTTTCTTATATTTTTTTTCAGCTCCTTGATGACTTAAAAGATGAACAGAATGAGTTCATTGATTCTTAAACCTTATCTCCTCTTGCACGAGTATACTGTGCAATTCTTTCATATTCCATTTGTCCTTTAAGGTATTATAGTTCTAATAGAATTGACAATACCCAGGAGGTAATGAGTTGATGATAAACTGTACTAGAAAATTCTCATCCACAGTCATCTCAAGAGTCTCAAGTCTTCCTGTAATGTAACTCATTTCAATAACATGTTCATGCATGGTACCCACAGTGTGCCAGCAAGTGACTTGTCACCTGTTTGACAACGTTCTTCCACAAACTTTATATGTTCCTTAGCAATCTCAGTTTTAGGGACAATGGACTTAATATTCTTTGCTAAGGTCATCCGCATAAACATTAGGCTTAATTTGTTTGATCTTTCCCAAGTCTTATAAAATGATCTTTCATCAGCACTGCTATCATCAATGAGATTAGCAAGTTTCTCAACTTGAAATGCCAAGTTTAAGTCTAAGAAACCTAAGTTGAACAGGACTTGTTCACACTAGTGAGAGAAATTAAGTACGTTGCACTGTGATACAGATGAAGCATGTGAATGTAGAGAAACGAAAACAGATACTACAAAATATAAAATTCTCTAACATTAACACTTTGAGTTTTAACTTAAACACTTAAGTACAAATCCAGATAACTTTAAATGTATACCGTAGTTCTCTTTTGGGTGATACTACATTACACCATCATAATAAACATAATGATGTTAGTTTAGGTTTAACTGGTAATTAAATATACCTTAATCAGACATGTTTGTTATCTTTGAATATACAAAACACATCTAACTAAGTATATCAATTAACCACGATAATGTTCGAGATTAATAAAATTAACTGAGGTGATCCATAATAATTTTATAATCTATGAACGTCAATAAACTCTTGACAATAATAATCATAATGTCATCTTCATTTATAAACATCAAACTATTAAGAGTAATTGACTAATAAATTGTGTAATTTAGTGTTCTCAAGACCATAATATTTGGCCACTTTGATGAGTAACAACAACATTAATCGAACATTAATTACATAAGCAAAACATTTATCACTTAATGTTTATTTACAGATTTACATATTCTTGTTGAGCCACAAAAT